TCACTAGCACGTTAAGAGACCATACAATAAGTGTCAGGGGCCCGAGACTGTTCAACTGCCTCCCAGCACACATAAGGGGGATTACCAACAGACCCCTGGCAGTCTTCAAGCTGGCACTGGACAAGCACCTAAAGTCAGTTCCGGATCAGCCGGGCTGTGGCTCGTACGTTGGTTTGCGTGCAGCCAGCAGCAACAGCCTGGTTGATCAGGCTCTGATCCACCAGGAGGCCTTGTCACAGACCGGGCCGCGGGGGCGTTGACCCCCGGAACTCTCTCCAGGTAAACTCCAGGTGTGACTATCGTCCACAGGATGGGTATGGGGTGACTACCGTCAACAGGATGGGTATGGTGTGACTACCACCAACAGCATGGGTATGGAGTGACTACTGCCCACAGGATGGGTATGGTGTGACTACCACCAACAGCATTGGTATGGTGTGACTACCACCCACAGCATGGGTATGGAGTGACTACCGTCCACAGGACGGGTATGGGGTGACTACCGTCCACAGGATAGGTATGGAGTGACTACCGTCCACAGGATGAGTATGGGGTGACTACCGTCCACAGGACGGGTATGGAGTGACTGCCGTCCACAGGATGGGTATGGGGTGACTACCACCCACAGCATGGGTATGTAGTGACTACCGTCCACAGGATGGGTATGGGGTGACTACCGTCCACAGGATGGGTATGGTGTGACTATCGTCTACAGGATGGGTATGGAGTGATTACCGTCCACAGGATGGGTATGGTGTGACTACCCTCCACAGGATGGGTATGGGGTGACTACCGTCCACAGGATGGGTATGGGGTGACTACCGTCCACAGGATGAGTATGGGTTGACTACCGTCCACAGGTTGGGTATGGAGTAACTACCGTCCACAGGATGGGTATGGAGTGACTACCGTCCACAGGATGAGTATGGGGTGACTACCGTCCACAGGATGGGTATGGAGTGACTACCGTCCACAGGATGGGTATGGGGTGACTACCACGCACAGCATGGGTATGGAGTGACTACCGTCCACAGGATGGGTATGGAGTGACTACAGTCCACAGATGGATATGGAGTGACTACCGTCCACAGATGATATGGGGTGACTACCGTCCACAGGATGGATATGGAGTGACTACCGTCCACAGGATGGGTATGGGGTGACTACCACCCACAGCATGGGTATGGAGTGACTACCGTCCACAGGATGGGTATGGGGTGACTATCGTCCACAGGATGGGTATGGAGTGACTACCGCCCACAGGATGGGTATTCAAATTCAAATTCAAAGTTTATTCTCTATAAGGATTACAATGCTGAGTTTACAGAATTTGGTTATTGTGTGGTTTACATGTAGTAAAATAATAATTACAGAGTGTACCACTAGAACACCTAGCATGGCTAGGTATTACTGAGTGTACCACTAGAACACCTAGCATGGCTAGGCATTTCAGGCAGACTTAAATTAAATCTTAAGTTTAAAATATTACAAAATTATGAGTTAAGTTGGTATTATGGCTAAGTGACTAAATACTAGTTTGTGACTTTGACAATGTGAATGCTTTTGTTTTGGCACTATACATAGTTTCAGTATTGGAGTATCACAGGCCAACTTATGACTAGTTAAGTTTCATTATTTTGAGATTTAGATTGATATTTCTGTTTATGGTCAAATGAGTGAGTGAGTGTAAGTGTTAACCACCAGGTGGTATTCGTGTAATTAGTTGACGGGGTGTATCAGGGAGATAAGATGTTTTCTGATGGTAGTTTTGAAGGTGATGAATGTGTCTGCAGTTCTAGAGTTCTCAGGTAGGGTATTCCAGATTTTAGGTCCTTTGACATACATTGAATTTTTGTAAAGGTTTAGTCGACACGGGGAATGTCATAGAGATGTTTGTGTCTGTGTTATGCCTGGGGTTCTGTCACAACTATCAAGAAAGCGTTTTAGGTCAAGGTTGATATTGGAGTTTAAGGTCCTGTAGATGTAGATTGCACAGTATAGTGTGGATGTACGGAACAGGAGTAAGTTTAGATCTATGAAGAGTGGGGAGGGGGTGTTGCCAGGGAATGGGATTTAGTGATTATTCTTACTGCGGCTTTTGTTGGGTTATTATTGGCTTTAGGTGTGTTGCTGCAGTTGATCCCCAAGCACAGATAGCATGGGTGGGGTAGGGATATATAAGTGAATGGTATAGTGTGAAAAGGGGCAGTTTGCGGCACGTAGTATCGTATCTTGGAGAGGATCCCAACCGTTTTGGATACTTTTTTGGTTATGTGTTGGATATGGGTGCTGAAGTTCAGGTTGTTGTCGAGGTATAGGCCTAGGAATTTGCCCTCATTATGAATGGCAATTAGAGTGTTGTCGATCTTAATGTTAATTTGCGCATCTCCTGCTCTGCTACCAAACATAATGTAGTAGGTTTTGTCAGTGTTAAGCGTAAGTTTATTGGCTGTCATCCAAGTCGATATTTTGATCAGCTCCTCATTAACAATGGTGTTGAGGGTGGCAAGATTAGGGTGAGAGATGACGTAAGTCGTGTCGTATGGTGTGACAACCGTCCACAGGATGGGTATGGTGTGACTGCCGTCCACAGGATGGGTATGGGGTGACTACCGTCCA